GAGCAGCTGGTAGTTTCGAACTGCTGACCTTAAGGTTCGCAGCCCGATTCGTAACCACTACGCTACCAGAGCTCCTTATATATTTTTTTTTTCATGGACAAAAACTAGAACCAATGAAGATGAGATCATACAACCTGGGAAAATCTCCATGGTTCATGAACCGCTCAAATGAAACTCACAAGTCAAGGAAATAAAATCACATTGGCACAGCTCCACCTAGCACCTTCTCATCTTGATACAAACCCAGAACCTGGCAAAATGTTTTCCTTGACAGATAGCTATCCCCAAACTGACTGAAATCTGAATGCCTTCCCCACTCTCAGATAAAGCAGCATAGTATGATGGGAAAGATAACAGACTTGGAGTCAGAAGACTAGTATTGTCTCAAACCTGTCTCTCTTCTAGATTAGTTCCGTGATCTAGGCAATTCATTAATCTCCCTGCGCCTCAGTTGCCTCATCTGTAAAATGAGAATAATAACACCTTCCTTAAATATTCCACAGAGTTATTAATTAGATCCATGGTGTTGAGTAAAAGTAGTCTGTCAGCATCAGGTATCACAGTTATTAGCACTGGCAGGGACTGACTCCCAGGACTGTGTTAGTGAAAGCTAAGGTATTTCTTCAGTTTGTCATTCTTTCCCACACACAGTAGACCTTCTGAAACGGGGCTTGTCTTGAATAAAACTTATTCAGTACCTAGTGAGACACAGATACTGTTCTATCAGACAAAATCAGAGAACCAATAAAGGTGATTTCTGCTCCTATTTTTTGCTTATGCAGAGATTTGGCTAATCTGCCTTTTCCTACTTTCACCATCCTCCTTTCATAATTGTTTCCTCTTCTCCCACACTGTCCAGCCCTCTCTCTCCTTCCGGGCTTATTTCTGTTCCCAACTTCTTTATAATCTTGATATATTAAAAAAGCACAGAGCTCATTTCCATTTTTTAAAGCTTATATTCCAAGTAACTATCTTGGGTAAAGGTCAACACAAGTATAGAATCATAAACAACCTTTTAAGATGCTAAACTGTAGTCTTGTCTGTGATTTAATCAGCGGAACTAGTTTTGCTACCCCTCCCTTGCCTTAACATCTTTCAAATCTGGGAATGAGCTTGGTTTTTTATCATGGGAATCTGTGAGCTTAACTTTGTCTGAGTTTGATGCCAGACAGGCTTTTCAGATTTAGATCAAGGTAGAGGCATTGTGATAGCAAGAGCTGGCCTATGAGTCAGTGAAGACTTGAATCCTGGGTCTAGAACCATGCCTAACACCCAGTAGTTGGTCAATAGATGTTGGTGGATAAATGCATGAATCAATGAACGAGTCTAATCCGAGGTCTGTCGCTAATTTATTTGGGGTAAGTCCCTTCACCTTTCTGCTCTCATTTCCTCATTGCAAAATTAAGCAGTTACAGAGTTCAAAGGTTCTTTATACATGACTCTATAATTTTGCATTCAGTTTGGCAATGCTCTACATTTGGAAGGATTTTGTTCCTTTCTCAGAAATTTATTTTGGATGTTTGCTCTGGGTAGCTGGTTTGTATATTTTTAACTGGCTCTGAAGTTATGTTCTAAAGCTTCTTCAGTATTAGGTCTGGTCCTAGGTAAAGAAGGTGATGTGAGTGTCTGTGTGAGCTTGGCAGCTTCTGGAAGTCATTGATGACTTGTACTTAACATCTACAACACCAGCTCAACCCATTTGGTCAGATTTGTAAGGGAATTTTATTCTTAAGAGAGGCCTGAATTTTTACCTGTTACTCACAGTGAATCTCTAGCCATGACTCACAGTTATCTGTCAGTATCCCAGGCCATCTTGATTTCAGCAGCTTTCTCTAACAGCCAATAACAGGTCTTTTTTTTTTTTTTTTTTTACAGTTCATACCCTTTGCAACCGTCCTAAAGCCCAGTGAACGAGCAAGTCCTTACTTATTCAGGTACCTCCTCTATGAGGTTTTCCAGTATCCATGGTGTTGTTGTTATAAGTGCCGTCAAGTCAGTTCCTACCCATAGCGGGCCTGTATAGGGTTTCTGAAGAGCAGCTGGTGAGCTTGAACCACCGACCTTGCAGCTCAAACCGACCATGCAGTCACATTAGCTCACAGCGCCACACCAGGACTCCATCTATGGTATATGCTTACTCAAAACATAAATTAATTGAGTGAGTTCTGTACTAAGATTCCCTAATGCCCTGGTTGAGCTGATTCACATAAATACCATTCCCCTCTGCTCTGTTACAGCAGAGTGTTGGGAGAAAGGGAGATGGATTCACCTGTTGTTTCCGGTTATTTTAAAAATGGGTTTGGGGAACTCAGTAGCTAGTGCTTGAAATGACTTTAATTTGGAAGAACTTTAAGAAAAAAGGTCTTAAAACACCAACCTCTATGCCTTAGTATGTTGTCTTTAAAGGAGTATTCAGAGAAATGACTACTGGAGCACCCTCTGCTATGGATTGAACTGTCTCCCCAAAAAGATCCTTTGAAGTCCTAACCCACAGTACCTGTAAATGGGAAGCCCTAACCCTCAATGCCTGTGCATGTGGAAATAGGGTCTCTGAAGATGTTCATCAGTTAAGTTAACATGAGGTCCTGATGGAGTTGGCTAGGTCCTAACTCAGTACCAGTGGTGTCCAGATAAAGTAAGCAAAGACACACATAGAGGGAAGATACCATGTGAATACAGACGCTGATTCGGAGTGTTGCATAGGCATGTCACAGAATGCCAAGGTTGGCTGGCTGTCACCAAAAGCTGAAAGGGAGGCCCCAGGAGGATTCAACACAATGGACACTGACTTCAGACTCTAGAATGGTCAGACAATACATTTCTGTTCATTTAAGTCACTCATTTTGTGGCACTTTGTTATGGTAGCCCTAAGAAATGAACACACCTTCCATGTGGTCTCATATAAAGGCAATTTGCATCCTTCCATCTTCTCTGCCATCCTCAAAAAGGGATGAGGTGGTGTCTGCTATGTCTGCTGCACTCCCAATCAGAATATGCATTTCAAACCCACTTGTCAGCACATATGTGTACCCAGAAAGCCCCAGGAGGCAGCATTCAGCTTCTCTCCACGCATTCTTTACAGGAGACCCTTCTACTCCATAGGGGCCAGTGCAAAACACTGCTCCGGCAGCCCCAGCTTTTTTATTCCTCCTGCATTGAACCCCGTCCTCAACCAGCTCCCGCTGGATGCCTCATCCAACCTGATCAATGATGGCCAGAGGCAACCTGCTGCCTGTATTTTAGGCCTGGGAGGCTGAATACATTATAGCTATTCTCTGAAGTTCTAACAACTCCCCAGGCCTGACTAAGGAAATGCAAACACATGGAGGCAGGGTGGTGACATAGAGTCATCACTGGCCCAAGAGGCACCATTGGCCAGGCACAGGCAGTAGGGAAGGCCTGGGTTGTGTTGTCATTCTGTCATCCATCTAGGTTTTCCAGTGAGGCTGCAAGGCCATTTAGCCAGCTCTGAGTCTGTCTGCAGATGGGACTATTCATCCTCCTGATGATTCAAGCCAAGTGTCTCTTCTAATTAACCAGTGATCTGGGAGAACTCCTCATTCTATCCCCTTGTCATCAGGAAAGGCCTCTGGTAATTACCAAAAGCTCTCTGCTAAGAAAGAGGGCTGAGTTGGAAACACTGGGAAAAGAATCGAGACAACCGCAATCCCTCGCTCTCAAAACAGAGAGGTTAATGCATAGCCAAACCTTCCGGGCCTGGAAGTGGGATGCCCTGCTCATATCAACATAACCTCAAACTTATCAGCACCAGCCCTGTGGGTCCCATAATACAGAATGCAACAGGATGAGGGGAAAATGGCTTCAGCATGATCAGCCGGTCCTTTCCCCTTCAACACACCCCATCTCTTTACTATGAAATGTTGCTCATTGGACAGGAGGACTTGTTGACATATCAGAATGTCCCCTGCTCAAAAATGTATGAAAAGGCAGCAAAGCCATGCAAAAACAATGATACAACTCAAACTACTGATGGTTATGGTCTGGTGGTTAGGGGTTTGGGATTCTGCAAAACACAGCCAAAAGGCAACAATCCCAAAACACAGACAGTGAAGGTGCTCAGATAGGGGACTTAATCTATCTGCTTGTCTACCCCATACACAGTGACCAGCTGGGCATAGATTTCAATGAAAAATTAGTCACCAAAATAAGGACATGGCTGAAGCCTCCTCGTTCCCTTGCATAGAATATACTTTCTCTGCCCATTCCTGTGACAATTCCACTCATTCTTCAAGGCTCACCTCAAATGTCACAACTTGTCCCACACCTCACTGCAAACTGAGACCCCAGGGCATTTTATTCCATCCTGCCTCTGCATCATGGTGCCTTCTTCTGCCATCACTTCTCTTGTTGTTGTTGTTGTTAAGTGCCGTTGAGTCGTTTCTGACCCATAGCGACCCTGTACAGGGTCCCGAGGGTGTAAATCTTTACGGGAGTAGAAAGCCTCATCTTTCTCCCGCGGAGCAGCTGGTAGTTTCGAACCGCTGA